ACTAAGGGGATAAATTACGGTACTAAGGGGAGCTGTCACAAAAATTTGAAGTCCAATCTGGATTAAAGCAGGGTGATACAATGTCTCCTATACTATTTAATTTAGCACTTGAAAAAGTTATTAGAGATATATCAGTAAATCATGAAATGGAGCTGAAAGGCAAAAATGTAATGCTAGCGTACGCTGACGACATTGTTATTATAGGTGATACAGAAAACGATGTAGTTGAGGCTACAGAGAAAGTAACAGAGTCCAGCCACAGAATGAACCTAACTATCAATAAGGAAAAAAACCAAATACCTGATAATGTCTAGACGTTCAGTAAATAAAACAGCACTAAAAGTGGGCCCTTACTCCTGTGAACAAGTGGATGAGTTTAAATACCTTGGAGTAAACGTAATCACAAAAAATAATATGCATAGTGGGAACCAATTGAGAATAAATATTGTGAATAAAGCGTATTTTGCCATGAATAAGATGCTAAGCTCTAAACTTTTGTCCAAAGAAACAAAAGAGAAACTGTATACTTCTTTTCTACGTCCCATAGTAATGTATACATGTGAGACATGGTCTACGACACAAGGAGACGAAGAAAAATTACTTACCTCCGAAAGGAAATTCACGGACCTGTTTGACTTAAAAATGGAGAATATGAGAAAGAAAAATAAAGATCTGGAAATGTTATTTAACAAGCCGAATATAAGATTATTCTTGAAGGCAAAGCGCTTGGAATGGGCTGGCCACGTCTGGCGAGCTGACGAAAATATTATAAAAAATGTCTTAATCAGAAATGTAACAAAAACGCGGCCAAGAGGAAGACCTCGCCAGAGATGGTTAGACAGGGTAAAAAAGTATATTTTAAATACTGACAATTCAAAACGACAAGATGACGCAATGGACCGGAATGGATGGAGAAACTTGGTGGAAGCATGCAAAAGGCCTTAAAAGCCTGTATAGCATAAAAGAAAAAATAAACCGAATATCAAAATACCTGAATTTCAAGAGCTTGTTTATTATCAAAATTCTCCATCAGCGTCTTGATTTCCTTGACGACTTGTTCTAAGTTTTGTTGAGGTCCAGTAATCTAAAATACAATAAATTTTAGTTATATTTTGATTTTTATAATAATTGATCGTTGCAATAAGTCAATATGATCAAATAACACACACAAAGAATTTAATGAATCTAATTAACTTATTACAAAAATATTATAGACTACAATTTTATTACACTTACCTTTATTGTATTTTCGTACTCCTCTTTTGGAGGAATTACAATTTGTACTTTAAATGTACTACAAAGTTTACGGACAGTCTCCCCGTTGATTCCTATTATGGACCGGCGGTATTTGACCGGTACGTCAAGCTAAAGATAATAAATTAAGTAAAAACAATATTATGAAAATTTATTAAGGCATTGTCAAACAGAACGCGTTGTTCTCGCTCGTGAAAGCGTTATTATCTTCGCGTTATAAATCTTCGCGTTGTATTCAATTACAAATTATATCGGCTGTCAAACATGGCTCTTCAGCGTGATTAAAATGGCGAAATGACGCGACGCTCTAACACAAAGTTGTATACAATTACAAAATCACGTGCGTAACAGCGTAATTTTTTTCAATCCTTGGTAAAATCAGTGCGTACAATTCTTCAAAACTATCCTGAGACATCAAGAAATACAAATAAAATCGGTCTTAGTGTGACTCCAGTTCACGATTTAAAGGGTGGTATTCGTTATAATTTTCTCTTTTTTTATTTATGTCATGAACCCAAATTCGCTTCTCCTTTTGTCGACTTTCAATTACTGCATATAATAGTAAAAGTTCTTCTTCGTCCGAACTACTGGACATTTTTGTCAACTATACCGTCCATACCTTACAAATGTACTAACAATACTGCATTATTATCAGCTACAATCAACCTATCATGACGCAGCGCTTTGGTTTCTGTGTGACATATGTAACGTTGGCAGTAGCGTTAATAACGCGACTGTAATACCTGAACATTAACAACGCGTTCTGTTTTTTCAAAGCCTTTAAAGTTATTACTTGTTTTAAATTTTAAGTAAAAAAATGCATTCTAAAACAAACTCACGTTTACATTTTTCTTCCATTGTTTGTTGATTGATACTTCTTTATCCTGTTTACAATTTTCAAACAACAATAAATTATTTCATATGTTTATCAATGAATATTGGTCTATACTATTACTATAATATTAAGTTTCTCACATAACTATGTTTATTTACAATATAAACCATTTTCTTTTTTTTTACATGAGATCAGTGTCTTAGATATGGAGTGGGATTATGTTGATATATCTGTTGTAAGTGTATGTCCAGAGCCTTATTTTATGCTAGATCTGTGATGTTTTATGTAAAGTAAAAGTATCATAACTCTAACTGATTACTTCCTTATCTGAGTTTTTCCAGACAAGCCAGGTTTTTTTCGAATTCGTGATGNTGTGTACTGCAAAGCTTACGGACAGTCTCCCCGTTGAGGCCTATTAACGGCCTTCGATACTTTACCGGTACGTCAAGCTAAAGATAATAAATAAGAAATAAATTAAGTAAAAACAATATTATTAAAATTTATTAAGGCCTTGTCAAACAGTACACGTTGTTTATGCGTGTGAAAGCGTTTTTATTGTCGCGTTGTATTCAATTACAAATTATATCGGCTGTCAAACATGGCTCGTCAGCGTGGTTAACGTGGCGCAAGAACGCGACGCTTAAACACAAAGTTGTACACAATTACAAAATCACGTGCGTTACAGCGTTATTTTTTTCAATCCTTGGTAAAATCAGCTCGTACAATTCTTCAAAACTATCCCGAGACATCAAAAAATACAAATAAAAACGGTCTTCATGTGACTCCAGTTCACGATTTAAACGGTGGTATTCGCCATAATTTTCTATTTTTTTATTTATTGTGTGAACCCAAATTCGCTTCTCCTATTGTTGACTTTCAACTACTGCATATAAAAGTAAAAGTTCTTCTTCGTCCGAACTACTGGACATTTTTGTCAACCATACCGTCTATACCTTGAAAAGATACTAACAATACTGCATTATTATCGGTTACTATCAACCTATCATGACGCAACGCTTTGGTTTCTGTGTGACATATGTATCGTTAGCGGTAGCGTTAATAACGCGTCGGTAACACCTCGACGTTAATAACGCGTTCTGTTTGACAAGGCCTTTAAAGTTATTACTAGTTTTAAATTTTAAGTTTAAAAATGCATTCTAAAACCAACTCACGTTTACATTTTTCTTCCATTGTTTGTTGATTGATAGTTCTTTATCCTGTTTAAATTTTCCAACAACAATAAATTATTTCATATGTTTATCAATGAATATTGGTTTATACTATTATTAGTTATGAAGTATTAGTTTTCACGTATTACTCAAGCAAAAAGAGACAAAATTTATATGGATTAAAAAACGTGTAAAGGAAGAATAAGTTAGAAGAATGGGAAAAGATACATTAAAAAAAAAAACTCAATTTTGAATTATTCTCTTCATTTCACCCAAAATGACATTTCGAAATTATACAATTTAGAAAAATATAATTTGACGAAAAACTTAAAAAACAACGTATGAAAAACAATTAAAAGAAAATATCTATTTTATTATTTCGTTATATCATGTGTACCTATCAAAAATGAGTCCAAGATCGGTCTAGTGGGGAAACCGCCACCTATAGTAAAAAGCAGAGTTGCCTGGTGTTATTGTGTTCTCCTAATATTTCAAATTTTTGTTATAGATCTCGACTTTTATTAAGTTTGTGTATTATGTTTATATTCGTGACCCACTGACTCGTTTTAACGGAAAAATTAGAGTAACCTAATACAGAATAACGATTTTTGTCCCACACATCAGTGGTGTGCTTAATGTATACAAACATTTTATTCGTATAATTAAATCGTTAATTTTAAGCAGTTTTAATATGTCTTTAATTTAATTAATTTAAAATATAAAAAAAAAAAATACAAAATTAAACTTCTATTAAATCAGAAATAAATAAAATTATTGGAGTCATTATAATTATAATCAACATTTTAATATTTTTAAAATTATAAAATTTCTAGGTTAGGTTAGGTGATTACATGATTTAATGGTTTTAATGAGAGACCTGAGCTTACATTGTAGACATGATTGATTCTGTATTTGGTTTGATAATTGACACTGCTAATCTTAAATACATTTTTAAAATAATATACCTACATATAGTATATAACTTTTTCATTTGGTGTTAAATTATTGGTAACAACCTAATATAATTTCACGACCCCCAGGTTACACACCACTACCCTACATTGATTATTTCATAAGTGAACTGGAAGACAGATTTTTGTCGCACTCTGACATTTTTGAAGTTAGTATAATAGTTTAGTTTATAGTAATAATATATTATAATGGTTCCAATTTTAATGCAATTACCTGCGTCTGGATACTAGAGACAATCTTTTTCTTAGCTTCTTCCACGTTGGTCTGTTTACCACTCAATATGAAAGTCATATCGGCTTTAGTCTTTGTGGTGCTAATTTCGATATGAACTCCCGTATCGATGATTANTGGTAGTTTAATAGTTTAGTATATAGTAATAATATATTATAATGGTTCCAATATTAATGCAATTACCTGCGTCTGGATACTAGAGACTATCCTTTTCTTAGCTTCTTCCACGTTGGTCTGTTTACCATTCAATATGAAAGTCATATCGGCTTTAGTCTTTGTGGTGCTGATTTCGATATGAACTCCCGTATCGATGATTATCTTCTTACAAAAACTTTTTGCGTTTGCAACATCAACCACTTTACCGTTATCAAATTTCTTGCCGATTATTGAAACGGTAAATGCCTGGAAAAAGTATATAATTTTATAAATTGTTAAGATTTTGTCGATAATTTTAACACATTTGTAGTCAGATTACAAAAAGTACCATTAAAACGATACAATATGTACTTTTATAATCTAAAAACCGACGATGAAACAAATAATTACCTGATTAATGTTCGAAGTATATCTTTTAACAGTTTTCGCTTCCAGGTTTTGGGAGAGCTTATTCAACTCAGGAAAAGTGTTGAGGTAGTTGTTTACAGCCATTGTTATTGTTTACTCGGTGCTTTCGAAATTATAAGTTTATTTATTATGTAAATTGAAATGTTTAGGTTTCAAATAATAATAAAAAACTATTATGAATATAATATTACAATGAAATCCTATAGTAACATATATGTAGTCATTGCATCATATTTATATTTGTTCCTATGGTAGTTTAATAGCCAACATGCCACCGTAGTAGGTGTAATTTTGGGAATTTCGAACACAAATTTTTTATTTAATTTTAAGTCTGTACTCATTTATAAAATAACATTAATGGGAAAAGTTCCACTTAATATATATTGAAACGTCATATATTTTTTTATAATTTTTTTTATGAATTTCGTTAAAATTTGAAGTTGTAACATATAATATATTGTTTAACATTATAAAACCCAGTAGCCAGTAGAAGGCCAGTAGCCTACGTGTATCTGATAAAATTAAACAATTATTTTCTACTTTGTGACAATACGGTTATGTGTTTTATATAAAATATAAATTAATTTTCAGTTAACAGGGCGTACATTGTTTAACATTATAAAACCCAGTAGCTAGTAGAAGGCCAGTAGCCTACGTGTATCTGATCAAATTAAACAATTATTTTCTACTTTGTGACAATACGGTTATGTGTTTTATATAAAATATAAATTAATTTTCAGTTAACAGGGCGTACATTACTATAATTATATTTGAATTAGCAATAAGTTTGCAACCGAATTCTTAAAAATAAATGAGCCAATCAATGGAAAACAATTAGTCATACACTTTTCTATTTTAGAAGTTAAACACAGTTGCAATAATTAAACTCAACATTTAAATGGTATTAGTGATACCTATAGTTGGCTTACATAAACACGGTCAATAGGGAAGGCTATAGGCCTCTTAGTCCCTACCCTACTGGATACGTTTCAGCAGTTGTCATGGGGACTGCGAATTCTCCCGTACGGGTTTCACAATCGACCGGAAAAGTGTGAGTACAGCAAGTTCATCGCCAATCAAACGGCCAGTGACCGGCCGTGGTGCGGAAGCGAACGCCAAGTTTAATGTAAACATTGGTGGTCCTTTGACTCGGGTCAAGTTTGCCGATAATACAATTAGCACTAGTGATAGTTTACGTGAGTAGTATCAATATGCCGGTTCTGGGACACTTTTGATAGTTTTCACTTTAAAACTAATATCTGATCTATATTTACATTGTTTTATTTCCTGTTCTTTTTTCACATGCATAAAATAAAAGTAATATTTGACATAAAAAAATAAAAATAAAAAATAAATTACAAATAATATTTGAAAAATTAAATCTCATAATATTTAAATTAACATTATTTTTTATTATTTGTTTTTATTAAATTATCAAGGTATTGTCTTAATTTTTGTATTATTAATAAATTTCTTTCTATATTTTGGAATTTAACCAAATTTCTATATATTAACTAATATTATATTTTGAAGGTATAAGTAAAATTTGAAGTCAATCGATCCAGTAGAATCCAAAATCTTTTAATAATCCATTTTCACAAAATTTAATTACATAATCTGAAAGATCGTTTAAGGTTTAGTGGGGGTAGCTGAAAACAGAATTAAGCTACGATGATTTGTCACTGAGATGTTCAAACTCAAATATTTCCAAAATTGGACTACCCAAAAATCGATTTTTAGTATGTAGTGTAAATAAGTTCCAAAATAACAATGGTCTTTGTTTCGGATTTTTCTAATTATTATTGAATAAGTTAGAGCATTTCAAAAATTTCCCCTTCCTAAATATATATTATTTATAAAATCTATCATTATATTGAAATAATATGAAATTTTATAACTTAAATATAAGAATTTCGTTGTACTTTAATATCCTAGTGTTCTGGTCTAGTGGTAAAATACTTCAATTACAATTCAATAAATCCAGGTTCTCGAACCTCACATAGACTAATAAAAATATTTGCAAAAAAAAAAAATATTCAGCTCTGGCGCGATATAATATCTGTAAGCCGAAAACGTTGTATAATATCATATCTGTTATATGATTGTGACGCTTGTACATGTTGTTTGTTGGGCGATTTGATATGTTAGTAGCATATCCGCGGTAATAACTCGTGTGCGACCGGAATTCTAGATTAGTGCGATCATATGACAGATTTAAATAGATCAGAACATTAANAATCTAATTTGTTATGTTATTATAGTACGTATGTATATTACATTAGAATATAATACAAACGTCAATATACATATTTTAGATCAACCTAAAAAATCTTTAGGCGTGGCTAAATATATTATTATAATAATAAACAATTGTTTTAACATTCTTGCGTATATATGCACGGTTATTGTTTTTTTTTTTTTTTTTGATTTTAGTTCTTGCAATATTTGACGAAAACGGTAAGTCATAATAATAATAATAATAATAATAATTATAATACAACCAAATTTGGTTTGGTTTAGGAACCTATGTGTAGGTGCGTTACCCAAGGTAAGTGAAACAAGTAGTTAAGGAACAGTTTTTTTTTACGTATACAATAGTTTATCATCGCAAACGAGTTATTTCGAACCACTTCAGTGACGTCCGGTGGTAAAAATGTGTATTCGCATAATCTAAGCGCCATTTTAGACCCCTTCTATTTCCGTGTCTAGTTCCGTATCTTACAGGACTGAATTTGTCCATGGGTTTACCAAAGTTACCAAAGTGAAATATTGTTTGGAATTTCGTATATCTAGATGGATTAGTTTCCGAGGTGTACGAGAGTCCTAAAATCAAAATTTTTGGCATATATTCACTGAGTAAAAAGTTTGTCGATTTCACCGAAAAAATAAATGATATCTGCATAAGTGGGGACCAAATTTAAATTGTTAAACGAATCGCTTACTATTACTACTGAATTGTTGACATGAATATATAGTTTCATTATTATAATGTTATATTTTTCAAACGAATCGTGATGTGTTTACTTATTTATTAGAAATAAAATTTGCTATATCAAAATTATGGTAGTAAGCGAACAATTTAGATTTAGCAGCCGCTTGGACGTTTATGTTTTCGGTGAAGCCGACAAATTTCTTGTCTTTTGTTTTTGCCGAACGCGGTTTGTTTTTTCACATTTATGTTTTTTTGCGGGTAATAAATGATTATGCCAAGAACGATGAGACTGCACGGGCATAATGAATTATTCAAACCGGAATCACGAATCGCGTAAAACTATAAAAATAGACGCGTCATGTTTAAAATAGGGTCCGGACACTGATAATAATTAACACGGTAAAGATACGACGTAAACAAAAACGCGGTGGCCATTTTGCCATTTATGATTTTTATCAACTTAGTATTATCAGTTAAACAAATACTGAATTTCAGTGTTTCATGAGTTGTTTATCATTTAATTTTGAATCCATATATATTTATTGTAATGCAGATAAAACAAAATGTAAAATACAATTTTTATCAACGAGTTTATAGATTCAATTAGTTATAACTTGGATTATTTGTCTGAACATTTTTAAAAGTAACCGTACAAGAATGGTACGAATTAATTAAACAATAAGGATAACATTGAGTAAGAATATATAAGTTCTGTATGATAATTCTCACGTCTTCACAGCACAATTGTACAGTTGTACGAAAACCCTCTACGCGGCATAATAATAAAATATTATAAATTACACGATTTGATACAATTCGATTTGAATTTAAAAGTCAAATCAAATGTTAAACAATAACTCAATATCCATGACACGAAAAATCGTACACGGATTATCACACAATCATCACGTAAATTGATAAAATCACAAATGGCAAAATGGCTGCCACGTTTCGGTTTACATTGGGAGTGTCCCTTCTGCTTTAATATATTCCGTGTTTAAACGCAGACACGAATACAGTACCCACTATTAATATTATTAAACGTTCGCGGAAAATAATAGTATTTTTTTTCCCTTTTTTATGTATAGATATACGCGGTATAATCGCACGAGCCTCCTCCTCCTATAGCGCCCTCTCCTTTATCCGCGTACATTTAGACATAGGCGCTTACTTAATCGTATCCACTCGCGGTATTATAGCAGTGTTAAACAGGTACCGCCGTCAAACAGAAAGAAATCGTGAAAAAAAAAAAAAGCTTAAAAATACAGCGACCCGCGCGTCATTAGAATATCATGTACGAGAATCCGTCTACGACCGGCAACTCACTGTACCCGCGTATAATAATAATAATAATATTTGCCGTCTAAACCCGTCCGGTCGGTTTTTTTTTTTCAATATTATTTTATTATTATCACGACACCTTGCCGCCTCGTGATTTTTTTTTCTCGCGCATCCCTCTGGCAAACGTAGACGCGCGCACATTTGCATATGACTTCATAATATTATTACTATCGCGGTCGTTGCACGAAGCGCCGTCATTCAACCTGACGAGTCCGTTATGATACATTATAATCCGCGTAAAATAATAATAATAATTTTCGTGTTACCGGTTACCGAAACGTGCAGTGTTTTCCAACGATATATTAAGCGGCAACAAAACAATACAATGAAATATACTCGTGATTCGAAATACTCGCACGCGTAATTAAATAATAAATGACGTGACGGGGATAGTGCGCGGGGATATTGTAATATTATCTATACCGGGGCCTCCTATAGCGCGGTTACCGAAAATGATACCGCGATTAATGTTACCGCACGCGTGAAATAGACCGACGACGGCGGGTGTTCGTATATGATTGATACAACACGGGGGAGGGGTGGTGGTGGTTTATTTCTTCTTCAAGCGACTGTATAACCCTCGGTTCATGGGAAGAACGACTCGAGTCGATTTTCGGGGGTTTTTTCATGTACATAATAATTTAGTTCTGCTTAAATATTTCGCGTTATCGTTTAAATGAAACGCATTTTATTACACCGTTTTCCTTCGACAATCGTGTGTGATTTAGATTTGTAGTTGTTGGTACGGTATTTATTTTTTTTTTTTTTATCCCGTTTGAGATTCAATACGCATGCAACGAGATGTACATAA